AGACCTAGAGCATGTTATTCTTTATTTCTTTCCACTATAAATGCCCTGTCCTTGTCAGTCTTGTTTGATCTTCACACAATTTATCTTGCTCCCAGGCCACAAATTCCTACAAAGCTGAATTAACCCTGACATTAAATAGGATCCTGGAGATCTTGTTAAAATGTAGATTCTGATTCAATATCTCTCCAGAGGAAATACGAACTCTCAGCAGGGTGACGAACTAGAATGAACAGGTTCAAAGCCCTGTTTAAAACTAAGGTTTGTCATCAGCGTGGAAGAATCTCAAGGACTTAAATTTAATAATAGAAGATTCTGTTTTGCTACGGATGCCAGGAGAATATGTTTTGAAAAGATATGAAAATTTTCAATTTTGCCAGTTGTTTATCATGAGATGGAAACAAATACCAAATTCTAGCCAAGTCTGGAACATTTGCCTTAATCTTTTTGGGTCACAGAACTCTCTGACAATCTGATGAAATGGTGGATTTATTCCCTGGGGAAAAAGTGTACTTATTTAAATTCACATAATAAGAATTTGCACATAATTTTCAAGTCTCAGGGGGTAGCCTGAAGCCTGATTGTTTAAACATTCCTGTTTCAGTGAAAAAAAGCCAGCATACTTTGTGACAATACAATATATTTTCTCTCCTTAGCTTCCATTTTTACACTTTAAAATGTTCATTGAGTGCTTACTATCTGCCAGGCACTCTGCTAGACAACTGAAGATAAAAGTTTTGCCCTTGGGGAGCTACAGTTTGTCCGGGAAGAAATATACAAATTTCACAAATGCATGTGCAGTTATGAGTTTGACATGCTCCATGACAAGGAGTTATAAGATGTTTTGGGGAATTTTTAAAACCTTTTTATTGAAACCTAACATACATACAAAAAGTACACATGTTGTAAGTATTAAAAAAAACAAAACAAAACACAAACTCACTGCCGTCCAGTTGATCCTGACTCATAGTGACCCCTCCTTGGGTTTCCCAGGTGGTATCTCTAGGGAAGTAGATTGCCAATCTTCCTTCTGAGGAGTGGCTGGTGGGTTTGAACTGCCAGCCTTCTGGTTAGCGTCACATGCCTTAGGCACTATACCACCAGAGCTTCATAAGTATAACTGCTTAATAAATTTTTACCATCTAATGCCCTGTGTAGGAGCTCTGATAGTGTAGTGCCTAAGGCACTTGACTGCTAACCAGAAGGCTAGAGGTTCAAACCCATCAGCCACTCCTCGGAAGGAAGGTTGGGCAATCTACTTCTGTAGTGATACCGCCTCGGAAACCCAAGGAGGGGTCTCTATGAGTTGGATCTGACTCGATGGCACATAACAACAGCAACGACAGTGCCCTGTGTAGGAGCTCTGGTGGCACAGTGCCTAAGATTGCCTGTGGCAATCTACTTCTGTAGTGATACCACCTCAGAAACCCAAGGAGGGGTCACTATGAGTTGGATGTGACTCCACAGCAGTGCATTTAATCCCCTGTGTAATGAGCATTATTAGGGTAATTTTTTGCTGAGTCAGAGTTAAGAAGGACAGAGGTCCTTCCCTGAGGCTGGAAAGTTTGCTGGCATCTGATACAATAGTAGACAAAAAAAGAGGAAAAGATCACGCTAGATAGAGAACTAGCATATGTGGAGAGTTTAGGATGGACTCAGGCAGGGATAGTAAAAAAGGTCAGTGTTGTCCAAGCTACAAGAGTGAAGGGAAATGTGTTAGAAATGAGCCAGGAGAGAAAGATGGTGTCTGGTTTTATAGTTATGTGGGTCTTGTTCAGCATATGGTCCTTAACCAGTTGCCCTCAACTCAACTCTGACTCATGGTGACCCCATGTTT